TCCTGCTGTTTTCATCCACCCAGTTAGTGGGACTTGGTTACAGCAACCCAGGACGCTAAGGCAGTAGGTAAAGCCACCAAACTGCATGAGACCACCCAGGAAGAGAGAGGAGGTGGGCCATGTAAGAAAGCTGGAAAGAAGAGGGAACCCAGAATGAGGAGCGGCAGCCAGCAGGACAAGAGTAGAATCAAGAGATGCCACTCACATGGGTGGAGGAGGAGGAGGACTGAGGAGGGGATGTCAGCCATGTTAATGTAGCTGAGGGTAAAGGAAGAGAAAGGCTGAGCATGGTCACGTGGGGAAGGGAGAGGAGAGAATCTGTTGCATAGATGTAGGTGTAAGCAAATACCATCTTCATCTTCGTGTCCTTTCAAGCTGTGGCTTTTGACCAATCTGTCTTTAGTAAGCATATCAAAGCCTTCTAGTTAATGATTAGCTGTATCCCCTAAAATGTAACCATAAGCACTTTTGTTGGTAATGGCCAGGACGACAACCGAAATATACATCAAACTGGTGACAGTGTCAGCCACCAGGAGGGATGGCTCCTGGTGCTACTGCATTATTTGTCCCTTTGTCTTGTCAATCATTAGTACCTGAGTTATATTATAAAAACAGTGCAGTGACAGGAGTCTTGGGAAAGAGGGGGCATTGTATAATTTGCACAAAACTGCTGGGTCCTCTGTCTGCTTCAGCCCTAATCTTCCCATAAGAAAATTACCCTATAATAAATTCCATGATATTCTATGAAGTTGGCTAATTCATCTTTCAGTCTGAAGATACCTTCTCGTAAAGAGGCCATTACACCATGGGGCAGTGAGACTTGGTAACCCCACTGCTGGGAAGAAAGCTCATGTGTAGTCATCACAATGTTGCCCTCTCTGCCTTGAGACCCCAAATCTTGAGAGAGAGGCCCCACACGTCTGCCAACCTGAGTATCTCCCAATGGTCCCTGCCTTGACCAAAATTTGGCCCTCCTCCCAGTACCCTGATCTGCTCTCCAGGGTGCTGTGATCTGCCCTGTGCCCCAGGGCAGAGCTATCAGCCTGCATCACAGCCCACACCTTGATCAGGAAAGGAGATCCTATGGCCTCTAATTTTATCCTCCTTCCCTCCATTCTCCACTTTCCAAAGTGCAAATCTGGTCAAACCACCCTTGCAGATCAAGTCTCAGAGCTGACCCTTGCCTGACCCTGCCCTCCCACAGCAGCTCCCAAAAGGTAAGAAGTCACACCAACAGTAATGAGACAAATGAAAGGACACAGAATGAACACTGGACAGATCTGCCCAATCCTGAGGATGTGCCCATAAACCAAATTTAAAAAGGCCAGGAACTGTTCTAAATTAAGAGACAAAAGAGCCCAGCCAGGCGTGACTCGGTGGTTGAGTGTCGACCTATGAACCAAGTCAGAGTTTGATTCCTTGTCAGGACACATGACTGGGTTGTGGGCTCAATCCCCAGTGTGGGGTGTGCAGGAGGCAGCTGATCAATGATTCTCTATCATCAATGAAGTTTCCACCTCTCTCTCTCTCTCTCTCTTTTCCTCTCTGAAAAAAATATCTACACTAATAAAAGAGAAACATGGCAATTGGCGTACGACCGCTACCCTCTTCAATGGCTAATCAGTGTGATATGCAAATTAACTGTCAGCCAAGATGGCTGCCGGCAGCCAGGCAGCTTGAAACTAACATGAGGCTTGCTTGCTTCAGTGACGAGGAAACCTACGTTCCCTGCCTGCGGCCTGCCTCTGAGCCTGCAGTTTCAAACATTGTAACAAATATAGAAGCTAAACAAAACCCCAGAAACCTGCTTTCAGAGAGCTAGGATCTCTGAGCTGGAGTTGACACAGAGTTTCGATTAGAACTGAAACAAACCAGATACCTGCTATCAGGAGCAGAGGCCTAAGAGCTGGAGCCTCAGAGCTAAAGCTGGTCCAGAATTAAAAAGAAAAAAAGGAGCGGTTGGGAGCTTCCATCACCTGCAAGCCTGAAAACAGCCCTCAGCCCCTCACCCAGACTGGCCAGGAACCCCA